ACTTCCTTGGGCAATCTAGTGTTAATACCGATTTCTACTCTGCCATTTCCTGACACGACAAATCAATTTTTTATTAAAAAATTACCTCAGGAATTGCTGTAAGTTTTGAACGAGTCTGTACATAGATCCATCAGACGTTTTTTGAAACCGCCTAATTGCAATGATATTGTGCGGTTCATCATTTAGAGCCCGTTAACCACGTCTGGGATTGCGTAAACCTAGACAAAACTTGTCGATCAGTTTTCAGCCGTGGCAATTTGTAAACGTGGCTTAAGCCCCAGTCGAACCTTCACTTTCACCCTTCGCCGCGGTCTGACCTTTTCATTTATCTTCGTGCCAGCCGGGTGGTTCCGCTCTACATGTGTGGCACAGGTGTATGGAAAAAAAATCTACATATCTACCGGACTGACCCTACAGAGAGTTTCATTCTTACAACGCCTCGTAGAACGACAACGGTTATAATTATCATTTGTCATTCTATCAGAACTCGTTTCACTTTCATTTTCCATAGAATTATAGACAAGTCAGTATAGATTATCATATACGATCATGGAAATATCAGAATTCATTAAAATCAAGATAACGTTATTCTATTTTATATAAAAATCGTTTAAATTAATATTGACTAATAGCAATTTGCATAGATAGACTTTTAGTCAGAGTTAAATATTCATAGCAATTTCATGGTAAATGAAATATGAATAATAATAGAAACAGGATTTAAATACGTAAGCAGTTAAAGATAAGAGGGAATGCAACGACTTTGCAAGGTTTCGACTCTGTCAAAAAGACAGATATCTATGTAAATGTGTAAACTTCCTGGAATTGATCTGCCAACTGGACAAAGTTTCACAATCCATCGGACCACTTAACTCTGGCTACTTTTTTCTAACGTGTATCAGCTGATCGGTGCAATGCTTCGATAAGCAGATTAAGTGGCGATTGCCAATTCCGAGACCGGTGTAACATTGTGCCTTTCTTCTTCTGGCTTAAAACGAGAAGAAAGGAAACTCATTTAAAATGCGTAATTATTCTTACTTGAGTTTAATCAGACCAGAAATGGAGAGCTCTGGAAATCAAGTATTGGCAATTTTTTATCGATTATGTCAGTCGTTATAGTAACATTATATTATAGTTATTATAGTATATATGACATATTATGTATTCTGTATTATATATTATACAAAAGATGCGACAGTTGACACAATATAAAAAATCGTACTAATTATTGTGTGATTTCTGACAACCATTTTATTAATGTTAACGCGTATCTGATTGGCTGTTACCGGAGAACGCGTTAAAGCGTTGGAACCGTATCGTGGGCGCGAGTCACACGAACAGTGAAAGTTTCCGATCGTTTGATCAGTGCTTAGGAACTGTTTAATAGCGTAGCTCGTACGGTGCCGAAGGAAAAAAAGGGGGCGAGCTGTTCCGCGGCGTCCGGTTGGGCACACGACTCGATCTCCCGTTCTCCCTGTACCAGGGCTAGAAAAAGGTACTCGAAAATCGTGCGGTCGCTCGTGCGAAACGAATTGCAACGTGGAACACGGCTGGAGAACTCGCTGTAACAGCGAACGCTGAGAACTTGTGTTAAATCTAGCGGCTGCTGCATTTTCACAGGTCGTCAGTGATAACGAGTGAATGACCTGAATTCCCGAGAGTCTAGGAGCGGGCACAGTTCAGTTTCTGATCGTTCTGCGCATCTCAAATCTTCACTGTCTGCACTGAACCGTGTGGAGGGGGTTGGCTGCGACCCCCGCCACCTTCCAAAAACGCAAAACGCTCCTAGAGGACAATTGGCAACTCAGATATAGTAAAAGTCCTCAGGCAATTGATAAGAAATATGAAGCTTTTCAGGTTGGACGGGCTAAAAAGTCAAGCTGTACGTCAAAACGATTTTACACGCGATTGTGGCGCCGTTACTTTCGTTTCTCTTTTATTGGGTACAGACGAACGCCCACGCTGGAACTTTTGGTTCGTTAAAAAAAGGAAAGCGGAAATACAATTAACGTAATTGATAAGAAACAGGCGGACGAGGGAGAGAATGAAGCGAACCAAGCCACGTGTGTCGCAATGTACTTACTTACATACAGAAAACAAATTTGGGATTACGTAAAACAGTGATTTTCGCGTGAGGAATTCCGGAACGAATGTCCCGACCCTCACAGAAGCTCCGCCGCTGCGTAATTAGCCATCTGCGATACCGCGATCGATCAAGTTACGCAATGATCGTCAAGCTCTTGTTAGCATAGAGTCAAACGCGTGCCGTTTGGGTCTCCCCCTGAGCTCGATCTGACCGGCGAAATTGACGCCTGGTAGTTCGGCTGTAAATCCGATTCGTTAAGGAAACTTTCCCCTCTCGGGACCCAATCGATTGATCTCCGGTTCCCTGATCAACGATTCTCGCTCGTGCCACAGGCTGTCAGACACGCTGTTCGGTGTAAAAGGAAATCATGAATTGTTTCGATTGTAATTGCATAACTTGAACTGACC